AAAAAAAAAAAAAAAAAAAGAATCCTCAATGGAAGACCTTGGTGCTTTCCCTACAATCTCAAAGCGTCAACCTCTAACATAGCAGCCATCAGTCAAGGGTGATAGATTCAAGTCGTCATTGCGCAAAGCCCTTACCTTTCAAAATGAAAACATAATGTGGCTGCCATCCACCTCTCCCACCCAGCACTCCAGCCTCCCAGTCCTCAGTAACCTCCTTCTGATGCTTAAGAAATCCTTAATTAATTGCGGGGGGGGGGGGCAGAGAAATGGCCCGGCCAGAAAAAACTCCTTCATACGATGAGTAAAAAGATAATAATTGAGAAAGATGTATTCTCGTTCCAGCTAACAGAACCTTTGCCAAGTGGTCTCACAGCACCGTTGGGCTACTCCTCAGGGGCGACTCCTTTCCGAAAAACACAATGACACCACTCGTCAACATTTGGACAGCGCTCCAAATAATGGTGGACAAGTAAGAGTCCAACTAGGCCCAGAAGCCAACTATTTCCACCGCGGGCCAAGGGCTCAGAGAAAAGCGGGAAGGTGAGAAGAGCCCCGCCTTCCCCCAAAGCCCAGGATCAGAGAACGCATAACACCTCCTATCACGGTCGCTGGGGCCTCTGATAAATTAGGGGTCCACTGGAGGAGCGAAAAGCAAAGGAAACACAATGGCGACGAAGCCACCATCTTGGATTGACCCCCTAGATTCCCTACCTCCCCCTGAAAATTATTGCTCCCGAAAGAGATGCAAACGATGGATGTAATGACCCAATCAGACCCCAGCGACCAGACCAGAGCCTATACTGTGGTTATCAGGAGCCCATGCGACAGGATGGCCGCAGAGGAACGCAGATGGACGTGGATGGTACCGAAGGCCAAGGCTTACCTGGGCAAGGCGAAGACGTATGGCGGCGGCAACAGAGACGAAGGAGGGAATCTGCCTTCACTTCCGGTTCCCGGCTTCCCTCTACCCAGGCCTCCCGCCTTCTGGGCTGCGAGAGCGCAGACGCAAGGGACCGGAAGAAGGACCTTCCACTGTTCTATAGTTCCGCACGCTCTCTGGTTGTCTTTAGAGATGCCTGTGTGAAAAAAAATTTTTTTAAGTCACTTCTAAGTGCTCCGCTACTGCCAGTAACAAAAGCATAAAGGAGACTAGCATCTTCTCAGATGGTTATTCTTTTCTTCTTGTCCTACTCTTTTCCACGCCCTTCTCCTCTTTATTTAGGTTCTTGCCACGCAGGTCTTCTCTCTGGGCACCCCTCCGGGGGGCACGAGGACCCAAGGTGGCGGGACTGCGAGTTCCCACGGGGTCCTTGGCCCGGTAGTCAAGGTGACCTGGGGGCGTTGGAGCGGGAGCTAGGGGACGGCAGGCTCCAGGTGAGGGAAGCGAGTGCTCACGGTCCTACCCCTACCCTTTCCCTAGCCGTAGGGCAGGCGGGCGGCATTTGCCCAAAATAAAGTGGGCCGATGTAGCTGATGCCTTAAGGTCCCTGAAGTTCGTGGACTTGGACTGCGAATCAAAAAGGTGTTCTGAAGCCACCGTATGGGGGACGGGGTCTAGATTCTGCCCCAAGTGTTAAAGATAAATGGTAGGGCTGGAGGGTTATGTAATGTTTTATAAATATTGTTAATTTGACCAGAATGTACTTAGCCCCGCCCCCAGTAGCTCCTTTGTTCAGCCTGGATTTTTCTTGAATAAAACATTTGATGTGTCCCTCCCCAACCCCCGCCTTTATATGCTACAGAAGTCAAATGTGACATAACAAAAATGACAAACGTTTGGCCCTTTACCTGTTGTCACACTTAACCACTTAACATCATGGTGTATCATTAATACCATTCTATAACAAGCAAGCAGATTTAGAGTAATAAAGCAACATGTTTCCAAAGTAATACAGCTAACAGGTGACAGAGCCAAAATGTACACATCTCTTTATTCTCTACTGTATCCTTTCCACCTGCTTCAAGAGTCTAGTTAATAAACTACGGATTATCTCATTGGTTTAAGTCCTTGATGAAACAGGCTTGTTTCCTGTGGTCAAAAGAACAGTAATCCAAGGATGGTGTCATGGAAGGGCAGTTTTTTTTGGGGGGGGGGCAGTTTTTCCAACCCACAATATCAATTTTTTCAACAGTATTTATCAATTGTCTATCCTGTGCCAAGTGCCATCCTAGAATCTGGGGACACAGCAGTGAACACCTGTGATCACAGAGTTCACATAATAGGGGAGACAACACATAAACATGTCAAGTATCGATAAGTGCTATGAAGGAAAATAAAGCAACGTAAGGGGCAGAGTGCTTGTTCCTACATCCTAGCTTTTCTCTACAGTTGCCATCTTTAGTCCTCAGGTTCCCAAAGGAGGAACCACTTGTTTCTCACTTTAGAGAAAAAATTACGTACCATTTGCTTTTGTTTCTCCAACAATCTTCAAAGGACAGCCCTTTTGGCTGTTTGGGGAATCAGTAAACAAGGAACAAGAGTGACTGAAAATGAGAAATGATGAAACAAAAGGAGGCTGATTCGAACCACCAATCGATTTGCCCATAATTATTTTATTGACACTTTTTTATTGTTACAAAGGCAAAGTAAGGTGTTGAAGATGTAGAAAGGAAGGCCATGCATACGAGGGAACAGCGTCACTTTAGATCTCAGGAAGCAGTGAACATCTGATGGGTCTTTGGAGAATTAGGGAGAGAGGGAAATCCAATAAAGAGAAAGACCAATTTAAGAGAGACAAAAAGAGAGGCTAATAAATGCAAACATCTTCCTGGAACCACAGTAGAGAGGCTAAATGAGATCATCATTTCATTTTTTCAGGGATCATAAGGTCTCTGGGAAAAGAGGTGGGAAAAACCAATTCTTTAGAGAATAACTCGCACCACAGAATGAATGAGTAGAATTAGCCACAGACAGAAGTGAGGAATCAGCTGTGTTTAGGTTTTGGTAGGTGGGCAGGAAATAGTAATAATATAACAGGGTTGCCATTTATTGGACCACAGCTACCACATGCCAGAAACCATGCTAGGCTCTTTACGGAAGAATCCTAGTAATTGCAGCAACCCTGCAAAGTAGGCGTGATTGTTACTATTCCAGTCTTGCAGAGGACACTGGGGCTACAGCTGAAGTAGCTTGTCCTGGTTGCCCAGCCAGCAAGTGGCAGGGTCGGGAGAGAGACCCAAGCCTTCCAGGCTTTGAAGTTAGTATTTTCCACATCCCTATTTCTCCATGCTACAAATTTCATGAGGGTGACTTGGGAGTTTATGAGGTCCCACTGAAGGTTAAAGGACAATCAGGAGATTCAGGTCTGAGCAGGACATTTATGAATTTCAAGGGAGAATTATTGGAGCCTGCTTCCAAGAATTTCTTGGGAGTGGAAAGGAGAGAAGGATTATGGTGGGAGGTGATTTTGACTTAGGGAGTTCTTTGAAGGAGGGAACTGGCAGGAGGAGTCAGGCACCGGGGTGGATTCTAAGCAGCAATCCGGTAGTTGGGGTGGACCTGGGGCCTGACGTTGCAGACCATGCCAAGAAGCTGGGCCAGGACACGTTCTCGGTTTCTCTGCTGGGAGCTCTGCATGCCCTGCACCTGGCGCCATGTAGCCTGCTCCACCTCAGCAGACAGGTTCCCCTGGGAGCCCATGGCCTGGGTTGGGAGGGGTTGGGAGGAGTGGAAGAGAGAAAGGAAAAGGCAGAAACAGAAAAAGAAGCATCCAGGCATGTGGAGGGAAGGATCCTGGAGCCAGGCCAGGAAGAAAGGCCCTCTCCAAAACCACTCCCATCCACGGTAATATCCAGACACCAAAGAGCCACACAACGCCCTCTCCTCTAAGACCTGACATGCAGCATCATCCTAAAACAGACCATACAATCCCCACCACCTCACCACCATGCCCATAAAGCTCTGCCTTCCACCCCAAATGTCATCATCATACTCTACATAAAATGTGGCGATTCCCCCCACCTCCCTAAATTGTACAAGCCCTTCAAAACTTCCAGACTCTTTTACATATCACAAAGCTTGACCAATGTCATGGCCCTCGCCAGGGTCCCCTTTAGCCCTTTACCACCTTATTTTCTTGTGGGATCACCCTATACACACCTCACCAGAGGTACCCACCAACTTGCACCCTGAGGTCCCCTCCCAACTTCCCCAGGACTCACCGCCTGCTGCTTGTTCTGGAATTCCTGTTCTCTTTCTCTGCGGTATTGCTCCACTTCCATCTGTGCTTCTTCCTTTGCCTGCTTCAGACGCCGGGCCTTTCCTGGAAGCAAAAGGAAGGACAGAGGTGTAGAACCCCCCCCCCCACCAAATGTGATGGTAGGGGTCAGTCCTTTCCAAAAGTTACTCTGCCTTCTCTCAGTCAACCAGGTGCTAGATTCCAACAGCCACCCATTTCTTCCCTTCTAAGAAGCCACTGCAGCCCCCAGCTGTCTCCCTCCTCTCCAGCCTTGAGTTATCCCAAGGACTCAAAAATGTTTGTTATCACGTCCAATTTTCTTTCCAGACTTCTAACGGAGACATGAGGAGACTCACTCTTTCTGGCATCTGCCACCTTCTCAGCCGCCCGCTTCTCGGCTTGCAGGAGCTGCTGGATACCCTGGGACTGACTGGCCATTTGTGTCGTTATGACCGATGCTGTTTCAGATGCTACCAAGGTACCAGATGGCTCCCCCTTCTTTCCTCTCCAAACCGCCTACTTCTCCTCCAGCTGTTTGCTGCAGCCTTCCCCTACCCCTGGGTCTTAGTGCTCCCCTTTTCACTCAGCCTCTTGCGCCTGGTGTCTCTCCCAAAATGATCCTCCCATTGATGGCTGGTCCTCTTCCACATCTCACTCTGGCAGTACCCAGAAGAACCGCCTGAGGGCAGCAGAGACCACGCCCAAAGCTGCCTGCTACCATCATAGCAGGTATAGACCTTCCCAGTAGGAAGGTCTAGGAATGGGGGCAGGGGTAGAGAGGAAAGGAGTACTGGGGAGAGAAGGAGGCATAGAGGGATTAAAAATGGGTTGAGGAGAAAAAGAAATTACCATGCGTGGCGTGTTGGGAACAGAGTATGCTGGGCTTCTCTGAATTCTTCCAATTTCTCTTCCTCTCTTTTTTCTCCCTGCCATTTCCATCTAATTTTTCTACATCTTTCCCAATTCCAAATTTCTGCACCCAT